GACCGAGGCAAAAAAAATAAATTGAGTATCTCAGCCTTCTCCATGTCCTGGGTGACCAGGTCAATATTATACAAGGTCAATAGAGCAGATGCGGGTTGTAATTTCTTTCACAGCCTCTCATGGCACTTGGGAAGTTGCCATAGTAATCACTTCCCAGATATCTGCGCAACTGATACTTGATAGAGGTGATTCTAGGGTACCCATCTCATGATGCACCAGCTTTTGACCTCTGACTATGTAACTTATACCCTGCAGGTGTTGTAACACCAACCTCACCTAGCTTATTATATAACTAACAACCCACCAAAATAACACCCTAATTTATAACTCCATGTCAAGTGATCATTTGAGATAATCAAGGGGTGGAAGCTACACCCTGCCTCCTGATACCCTGCCACTTGACCAATATTGGCAGCTTAGACATACTGCCAACACCTTGCCCCTTGACCTACATTGATTCAACTCTTCTCCACATTCAAAAGGCATGTGCATGATTGGCTGTTTCTGATAGATGACTGTCCTGGGTTCAGCAGTAGCAGTCTCCTGCACAGGAGATTCAATTTTTGGGAATAAAATGGCAAGATGGACGTAGACAGATCCCCACAGATGTGATCAACAAGATAACAGCAATGTCTCCACCAACTAATAAGAAAGAAACGCAAGCTTTCTTGGGTGCAGTGGGGTTCTGGAGAATGCACATCCCAAATTACAGTTCGATTGTAAGCCCTCTCTATCATGTGACCCGGAAGAAGAATGATTTTAAATGGGGCCCTGAGCAGCAACAAGCCTTTGAGCAAATTAAACGCGAGATAGTTCATGCAGTAGCCCTTGGACCAGTCCGAACCGGACCAGATGTAAAAAATGTGCTGTACACTGCAGCTGGGGAGAACGGTCCTACCTGGAGCCTCTGGCAGAAAGCTCCAGGGGAGACTCGAGGTCGACCCCTCGGCTTTTGGAGTCGGGGATACAAAGGATCTGAGGCCAGCTATACCCCAACTGAGAAAGAGATACTGGCAGCCTATGAAGGGGTTCGAGCTGCTTCGGAAGTGATTGGCACTGAAGCACAGCTCCTCCTGGCACCCCGGCTGCCCGTGCTGGGCTGGATGTTCAAAGGCAGGGTCTCCTCTACACATCATGCAACTGATGCTACATGGAGTAAATGGGCTGCACTAATTACACAACGAACTCAAATAGGAAATCCCAGTCGTCCAGGCATTCTAGAAGTCATCATGGACTGGCCAGAGGGCAAAGATTTCGGAATGTCACCAGAGGAGGAGGTGGTGCGTGCTGAAGAGGCCCCACCATATAATAAACTGTCAGAAAGTGAAAAGCAGTATGCCTTGTTTACTGATGGCTCTTGCCGTATTGTGGGAAAGCATCGGAGATGGAAGGCAGCTGTATGGAGTCCTGGACGACAAGTTGCAGAAACTGCTGAAGGAGAGGGTGAATCGAGTCAATTTGCCGAGGTGAAAGCCATCCAGCTGGCCCTGGACATTGCTGAACGAGAAAAGTGGCCAGTACTTTATCTCTATACTGACTCATGGATGGTGGCAAATGCCCTGTGGGGGTGGTTGAAGCAATGGAAGCAGAGCAACTGGCAACGCAGAGGTAAACCCATCTGGGCTGCTGCACTGTGGAAAGATATTGCTGCCCGGGTGCAGAATCAGGTGGTGAAGGTACGTCATGTAGATGCCCATGTACCCAAGAGTCGGGCCACTGAGGAACACCAGAACAACCAACAAGTGGATAAAGCGGCTAAGATTGAAGTGGCTCAGATGGACTTAGATTGGCAACATAAAGGTGAATTATTTTTGGCCCGGTGGGCCCATGACACTTCAGGCCATCAGGGCAGAGATGCAACATATAGATGGGCCCGTGACCGAGGGGTGGACTTAACAATGGACACTATTGCCCAGGTTATTCATGAGTGTGAAACATGTGCTGCAATTAAACAAGCCAAGCGGTTAAAGCCTCTTTGGTATGGAGGACGATGGTTGAAGTATAAATATGGGGAGGCCTGGCAGATTGACTATATCACACTGCCACCAACCCGCCAAGGCAAGCGCCATGTGCTTACCATGGTGGAAGCAACCACCGGGTGGCTGGAAACATACGCTGTGCCCCATGCCACTGCCCGGAACACCATCCTGGGCCTTGAGAAACAGATTTTGTGGCGACACGGCACCCCAGAGAGAATTGAGTCAGACAATGGGACTCATTTCCGGAATAACCTTATAGATATTTGGGCCAAAGAGCATGGCATTGAGTGGGTATATCACATCCCCTACCATGCACCAGCCTCTGGGAAAATCGAACGGTACAATGGGCTGTTAAAAACTACACTGAGAGCAATGGGTGGGGGAACTTTCAAGCATTGGGATACACATTTACCAAAGGCCACCTGGTTGGTCAACACCAGAGGATCTGCCAACAGGGCTGGCCCAGCCCAGTCAGAACTTTTACATATTGTAGAGGGGGACAGAGTTCCCGTGGTGCATATGAAGAATTTGCTGGGGAAGACAGTCTGGGTTATTCCTGCTTCAGGTAAAGGCAAACCCACTCGTGGGATTGCTTTTGCTCAGGGACCTGGATATACTTGGTGGGTAATGCGGGAAGATGGGGAAGTCCGATGTATACCTCAAGGGGATTTGATATTAGGGGAAAACAGCCAGTGAACTCAATTGTATGCTGTTGCCTGCTGTGTAATGCTTTTATAGCCCATCAACTAGATGTCTCCAGGGCACCAGCGACTGGCCCTGACTTCCCTCCAGCCATCATCCCAACAGAGAATGAACTTGGAACATCATGGACCGAATGGACTCGGCAGCATTATAGGGATTGGTCCATGCACTAAGAAAATGATTTTTTTCCTCTTGGTCTGTATGTATATGGATGTATATATGTGGGAGAGCGATGGTGTATTGAAAATGTGGGATCTGAGCACGACGTGAATGGTATGGAATAAGGGGTGGATAATGTCCTGGGTTCAGCAGTAGCAGTCATGTTTTTTCCTTTGTGTTAACTGGTGCAGTGCTGTGTTTTGACTTCTAGTTTTGAGAACAGCGTTGGTGAAGCCGATGTTTTCGGTTGTTGCTAAGTGATGTTTACCCTGACCAAGGACTTTGTGAGGCTCATGCTCTGCCAGGGAGGAGGGGAAGCTGTGAGGAAGCAGAGACGGGGCGCCTGACCCGGGCTAGCCGGGGAGGTATTCCATACCACAGCACGTCATGCCCGGGGTGGGGGGTAACTGGGAGTTGCCCGGAAGGACAGGGGCTTCCGGGTGGAACTCGTTTTCTTGGCCGGTGGTATCGTATTCTCTTCCCTTGTTATTTTCCCTTATCATTGTTTTAGCTGATAGTAGCGGTGGTGATTTGTTGCTGGACTGTTCTTGTCTCAACCCGTAGGAGTTGCACTCTCTCGATCCTCCTCCCCGTTCCTCCGGGAGCGGGGAAGGGGAGAGCCCCGGTGCAGGGAGGGGGGGGGAGACGAACACGGACCTTGATTGTTGTCAGCTTGGCACCACTCACTGGGAGTGAGTGAACAAGTTACCTGACTGGGTTTAAACCACGACAATGACTGAGACACCAGATGTCCCTGGCAGTCCACCAGACCCATGGCATCGCTTATGATCCTGTGTTCACTCTTGGTAATTGGGTGAGTTGCTACATGGGGAAATTGTTGCTCATCTTTATTACTTCTTCAATAAAGCTTTATTGTATAATGTGTTTTCAGACTCCATTACTGTTAGGACCACAACATCAAAGATATATGTCTTACAAAACAAAATTAAAAACATTTTGATACCCACCAATTTAAAAGAATACAAAAATAAACAGAATGCAAAAATAAATTACAAGATGTATTCACTACATAAGCAACTGAAAATGTCTTCTTTGTAACAGCTGTACATTTAAGGAGATGGCTGATGATATAAACAATGCAATGATATTTCTTTCTTTTATAGGAAAAGTTTAAATGGAAAAGCTTTCAGAGCTCCCAGTCTTTCTTAAAAAAATTAATACTGAAAAAACTTGAGAATATAATCATGACTGCCCAGGAACATCTGTTTTGCTTTGCTTTGTCAGCCCTTCTCTTAAACAATGAAATCAACATATATATGTAGTCATGAAGAACATTAAAATTATTTCCTTTTTTCATCTAACTTTTGTAAATGAATGTTAAAAACTTGCATAGAATCGTGCTGGTAACTCATGTAAATTTGATGACTAATGGGAATAGTCTTCATGAAAGAAAAAAAATCCAAATATTAAATTCCCCCTACTTTTTAAAGCTGTATACAAAACACTGGGTACTACTGCATTTTGCCTGCTTAGCTCATACATCGCCACCCACAAGTTTCCTACTTCTGTTATTCTTTGAAATAGCAATAAAAGTACAAAATATAAGCCAGTATAAATCCTATACTTTAAGTCAATGGAATTAAGTTTACCACTTTATGATACGTTCTAGCAAAGAACCTATGAATTTTGTTTTAATTCACAATGTCTATTATTTACGGCTTTGCTACAAAACACTAACTATGCAAATAACTACAATAAGAACATTTCTCTACAGCCAACTATTCCACTTTTAACACAAAACAGATAGATTCCACTGACACTCCATATAGAAGATATTATATTAGGATTAGACTCTTAATCCCTGTAGAACTTCTCATTTCATTACATGTAGTTGCATACTACTGCTGGTCGACTTTTGGAAAACAACCAGGACTGGACAAGCCAGTTTGCTTTGAAAATGTCTTAAAAGAACTAACAACTTTGAATTTTGCTGTTTAGCATGAAGTATTCAATCTATCATTATACTTTACTGATCCAACAAATGTAATACCCAATTATGTAAAAACACACTCATTTGTACTGAAGCTCTCTACTAACTTGTGCTTTGATAGAATTTTAAAAAATATATAAAATTTAAAATTAATTTTAGTGAATTTACTTTTTCTTAAAAAGTGGTGATTTATGGTGGTGCTTGCTTACCTCATTGTCTGACTCCACAAGTACTTGATCATATTCACTAAGAGCCACTAGGTACATGATAGATGTGACATTTTCAAAGCAATGTATCCATTTTCTTCTTTCTGATCTTTGGCCTCCTACATCCACCATTCTGCAAAATTAGCAATGATCACGTCAACCCCACAAATAACTTAGCAGAAAAACATGCAATAACATACGGAACACTGAATTCAGGAATTTAGTTGAAAACACAATTTGGTTTGTTTTTCTTAAAAATTTTACCATTTGTATTGAAGACTGATAGAATACATTGTAAGAAAAAAGGTTATCATATTTGCTTTTTGGTCTGATGTACTTTCTGAATTTGAAGTATTATGGGTCTCAAAGCCCTCAAATTTCTGATATTCATAACTATCAGGATTCTGAGCTACAATTCCAGAATGTATGCCCTGTATATTCAGCAGAAACACGTCTACAGAATGAAGTTGGTGGCCTGCCTTTCTCCCAAGAAATTACCAGTCAAAATTCCAAACTTGTCAAGGCTGCCTAATTTTAAGAGTATAAATAGAATACAACCTGTATTTACTAAAGATGTTAATAGTCAAAATAAAACCTGAAATTTGATGGCAGAGCATACTCCCAATTTATTATGGGTCTCAATGTAACTAGACACTCAGGTGTCTAACTTGAAATGGTAACTACACAGTTGTCCTTTAAGCAATATTATTTGCACTGAAAATGAGCTGTGGTGAAAATTATTTGTAGGAGTGGTATTTAAAAAACAAGTTTAGAAGTGGTATCTTTACATTTCACAATTTATTATTCATAATAAAAATTATATACTCATTTTATGGAAAAATGACTTCCAGTTTTCTATCAATAATAACTACCTTCAGAAAAAGACAAGTCTCTTTGTCTCTCATTCTCTTGATATTTTTAACAACAGCTGTTAATCATATATGGACAAAACCATGAAAATAAAATTAACAAGGTAAAATTTTAAAAACATTGAATAGTTTGCACCTTTAACCAATATCCTATACATGGCATTACTAATGTAAAAAGAAACAAAAGAAACAAGGCAAATTGGAATTAAAATTTTTTTCTACCTGAAAATGATGCTTTGTAAGTCGAATGGATATTCAATGATCCCTGTTGTTGGGACTCGAACTCTAAGCACATCTTGCTGAGTTGGCAGATAGGCCAAATCTGCTATGCGGTCCAAGTCATTAAGGTAACTATAGATGGGGAGAAACAATAGGAATGCAAGAGAGTGATACCGTAATCTCAATGAGGAAAAGAGAAAGGAAGACTTGGGAAAAGGAATAGGGCATGGGGATAGGAAAAAGTACAACAGAAAAAAGAGCAGTATTGACATAAAAGAGGGAAGGAAATATAAAGGAGTACTCCATTCTCCCTTCCTTCAAGTAAATTCCACAGAAGGAAAGCACGAATATTATGATTTTCATAGAAATTTGCTTGACTTTCACATGTTGAAACCCCAACAATTCAAAATTTTCAAGTCTGGCTAATTTAAAGACAAATAATATGATAAAATGTGTGAGAAATATAAGACTATAATTTTATCTGAAACTATTACATATTTCTTGATAATTACTATGCAATGTCTACAAAGCATAGATAAACATGAATCTCCCAAGTGATAGTGAACTATTAATTATCAGTTTCAAAATGGTAGGAGGATAAATGGCACTCTTTGACAATAAAAGAAAAAAACCCACACTAACAAATTAAAAAACTCTTCCCCTGAAATCCCTGCATCCAGAATGAAACTCCTGATCACGTTAATAAGCCTGCAGTACACAAAATACATCACAGTTAGCAAATAATCTGAAATTGCAACAGAATTGCTTGTAAGGATTTGTTAACTACAATGCACAACTGTTATGCTATTGCTTAATGGCGGTTTTCAAGCACTGGAGGTATTAATTACCTTTTATAAGAGATGCTTCAAGAAGAGAGATAATATAATAACATGTGATACCCTGTCTGGGTCCAGGAGTTGCACCTTCCATGAATTCCATGCAAGAGGCAGCTTGGGCTCTCCCCAGGGTATATGTCTTGGAAAAAGACTGCTGCAGTAAATTAAGGTTTTGTGTGTTTGAGTAATTCCAAGGACATGAATGACCTTGTTAGTCAGAGTTAGCTACTGGTAAGATAACCTAAGGTTGCCCTGATTCATTCCAGGGGAGTATAGCAATGTACTCCTTGCAATTTATCAAATCATTAAATATCACTAAGTTCTGAATGCATTCTTCTCTTCATAGTTATTATTCAAGGTGTTCTTTTTTAAATAAATGCACACAAGGAATGATTGCACTTATAGATACTCTGAATGATTTGTTATGCAATAAAGTAAATTGTATGAACAAGAACAGAAACAAAGATATTTGACTTTACAGCAAAAAGAACTAATTTCTTAACTATGCAAGGGAATCAAAAATATAATCAAATTTTCCTCACTCTGGTTTTATTCATGAAAGATTAAGCTGTATCCTGTTTCTATCCGGGACAGAGTTAATTTTCTTCCCAGTAGCTGGTACAATGCTGTGGTTTAGCTTTAGCATGAGAATAATGTTAATAACACACTGATGTTTTCATAGAATCATAGAATCAGAGAAAAGTTAGGGTTGGAAGGGACCTTAAGACAATCATGTTCCAATCCCCCTGCCATGGGCAGGGACACCTGACACTAAACCATGTCACCCAAGGCTCTGTCCAACCTGGCCTTGAACACCTCCAGGGATGGAGCATTCACAACCTCCCTGGGCAACCCATTCCAGTGTCTCATCAGCTTCACAGGAAAGAACTTCTTTCTTATATCTAAGATAAACTTCCCCTGTTTAAGTTTGAACCCATTACCCCTATCACTACAGTCCCTAATGAAGAGTCCTCCTCCAGCATCCTTATAGGCCCCCTTTAGATATTGGAAGGCTGCTATGATGTCTCCACACAGCCTTCTCCAGGCTGAACAGCCCCAGCTTTCTCAGCCTGTCTTCATACAGTAGGTGCTCCAGTCCCCTGGTCCTCCTCGTGGCCCTCCTCTGGACTTGCTACAACAGCTCCATGTCCTTTTTATGTTGAGGACACCAGACCTGTACACAATACTCCAAGTGAGGTCTCATGAGAGCAGAGTAGAGGGGCAGGATCACCTCCTTTGACCTGCTGGTCATGCTTCTTTTGATACAGTCCAGGAAATGGTTGGCTTTCTGGGCTGCGAGCGCACACTGCCGGCTCATGTTAAGTTTCTCATCAACCAGCACCCCCAAGTCCTTCTCTGCAGAGCTGCTCTGAATCTCTTATCAGCCCAACCTGTAGCTGTGCCTGGGATTGATCCAACTCAGGTGTAGGACCTTGAACTTGGCTCGATTGAACTTCATGAGGTTGACATTGGCCCACCTCACAAGCATGTCAAGGTTCCTCCAAATGGCATTCCTTCCCTACAGAGGAACATAAATTAGCATCATCGGCAAACTTGCTGAGGGAGCACTCAATCCCACTGTCCATGTCACTGACAAAGATATGGAACAAGATCGGTCCCACCACTGAATCCTGAGGGACAACACTCATTATTGGTCTCCAGTTGGACATTTGGTTTTGGTTGCTGTTAAGTAGTGCTTACTCTAAATCAAGGACTTTTCAGTCTCTCATACTCCACTGAGGAGGGACACAAGAAGCTGGGAGGAAGCAGAGCTAGGACAGTTAACCTGAACTAGAAAAGTGTTATTCCATAGCTGGAAGTGGCTGATCCCTGCTCAGGGACCATCTGGGCATCAGGCAGCACATTGTAAGAAATTGTATTGTGTGACAATTGTGTTTCCTGAATTTTCTTTCTCCTTCTCTCTTTTGTTTTATTGCCTATTATTGTTATTTCTATTATTATAATATTTCACATCAATTATTACATTATTAAACTGTTCTTATCTCAACCCATGGGTTTTACCTTGTGATTCTCCTCCACATCTCACCCAAGGGGACGGGAGGAGTGAGCAAGAGGCTGAGTGGTATTTAGTTACTAGCTGGGGTTAAACCAAGACAAACCAAACTGATAGTAAATGCTGAATGTGAGAATATTATATATATTCAGAAATATGTATTGAATCATATATCTCAGAAAAATTTTCATATTCAAAATTTACTACTCTGAACTACTCTCAGAACCCTGACCAATTGGTTTCTGCCAATAGCAAAAAGGGCTTGAAAATCTCAGCAATGCACCTGCCTTTAGATGCTTAACACAAAATAATGGAAAAGTTGATAATCATTTTGCTGCACGGTTGGACAGGATCCATAACAAATCCATAACCACCACAATAGGAAGTCTAAAGAGATGCTGAAACAGTAATTGGCCTCTTCCCTCCCACCCCACAAAAAAAAAAAAAAAACATTGTTTTTCTTTTGAGGCTTTATTTTGGAACAAAAGAACGGTATTGCGGTGGGTTGACCTTGTCTGGGCCCCAGGTGCCCATCAAAGCTGCTCTATCATCCCCTCCCTCCTCAGCTGGATAGGGGGGAGAAAATATAATGAAAAGGTCATGGGTCAAGATAAGGTGTCATGGTTTAAACCCAGCCAGCAACTAATTACCGCTCACTCACACCCCCTTCCTCCCCATGTCATGCCAAGTCCCACATTTTCCACCATCAACTTTCCTGTCTTTTGATATATTTATTTTACATATATATATACACACAGACAGATATCATTCCTTTAGTCTATGGACCATCCCTACAAAAGTTTTTGTGTTCATTCAGTCCATGACTTGGGGCTCCATTTGTCATAATAGTTTCTCAGGGCTGGAAAGATGGAAGATGTGTGGTGTTGGACTGTTACATGCAGAAGCCAGTTCTGATTCAATCACTGCTGTATTTGTCCAGTTTTATCAAAATTCATTCTTCATTAATGTGCTGATCAAAAGGGAGTCAGGTTCAGAACCTCAAATCCAGAGCAGCGAGGACAGGTGCCATGAGGCATCCAGCATAGTGCTAGGTATATAGCCGCTATGGAAGCGATCATATTCTAAATTATATGTCATCATAAAATTTAATTCATTGCCTATTTTCAACCAAAATCAAATCTCCTTTAGGTATACAACAAGATTTACACATTACTGAAAGCTCCATAGCTGGCGGTGTTCAAGGACAGGTTGGACAGAGCCGTGGAGGCTGCGTGGAGACCTCATAGCAGCCTTCCAGTATCTGAAGGGGGCCTATAGGGATGCTGGAGAGGGACTCTTCATTAGAGACTGTAGTGACAGGACAAGGGGTAACGGGTTAAAACTTAAACAGGGGAAGTTTAGGTTGGATATGAGAAGGAAATTCTTTCCTGTTAGGGTGGTGAGGCACTGGAATAGGTTGCCCAGGGAGGTTGTGAATGCTCCATCCCTGGCAGTGTTCAAGACCAGGTTGGACAAGGCCTTGGGTGATATGATTTAGCGTAAGGTGTCCCTGCCCATGGCAGGGGGGTTGGAACTAGATGATCTTAAGGTCCTTTCCAACCCTAACAATTCTATGATTCTGTGGGTGACATGGTTTAGTAAAAGGTGTCCCTGCCCATGGCAAGGGGGTTGAAACTAGATGATTTAAGGTCCCTTCCAACCCTATCTATTCTATGACTCTATGGTTACTGTCATGGTCACTTACATGGTTTAAGCTCAGTCATAAATCAGTCATGCAGTCCTCGCTCACTCCCCCCCCCCTTTCCTCCCCCCACTCCCAGAGGGATGGGGAGAATCGAAAGAATGTAACTCCCACGGGTTGAGATAAGAGCAGGACAGTAACTAAGGTATAACACAAACCATGACTGCTACCACCAAGAATAATAATGATAAGGGAAATAACAAGGGAAGAGAATACAACCGCTCACCACCCACCGACCGATAATATCCAGACCGACCCGGCTGTGATCTAGCCCTTCCGGGTAACTCTCAGTTTACATCCTGGACATGACATGCTGTGGTATGGAATACCTCTTTGGCTAGTTTGGGTCAGGTGTCCTGTCTCTGCTTCCTCCCGGCTTCCCCTCCTCCCTTGCAGATCATGAGACTCAGAAAGTCCTTGGTCAGACTGAACATTTGAGCATTAATGAAAACCATCAGTGTTATCAGTGCTGTTCCCAGGCCGAAAGTCAAAAACAAAGTGCTGCAACAGCTACTAAGAAGGAGAAAAAATGATTGCTACTGCTGAACCCAGGACAATTACCCACCAAGCGCATCTAGGC